ACACATACAATCAAATCTCTTCAGGAAATGATACAATGGCGAATAGATAATAAAGTTGATTCGATTCTTGAACATGCACCTACATTATCTCGAATGGATGTCCTTCGAAGAGTTATTCCGAGTGCTCAACATGGCTATACAAAAGTTCATCGACCATTATATATAGAGAAATCGGGTCTAACGCGTGTAAATAAAATATTGAATATGTTTACACCAGAGGAACTGCTTCAATGTCATATTTATTGGCTTGAATACATTTGTCAACGAGCAAGAGAGCACAGTCGACAATTGGGAAAACATGTGGAAACTTTTACTTCGATTTCGGATTTGCACGGCTGTAAATGGAATATAAGAAAAGTATTTCATATATGTAAAGAATTCCTTTACATCGATGACAACTATTACCCTGAACGTCTAGGACAGCTGTTTTTTGTAAATCCACCAGCGATCTTTCCTGCTCTTTGGGATTTAGTGAAACATTGGGTTGATCCTGTAACGAAAGCAAAAATTATTGTCGTTAAGAAAGGTTCTGGAACCTCAACATTATTATTACAGCATATTGATTCTGATCAATTACCACATGAATATGGTGGAAACTGCAATTCATGTTCAACTGCTCCGATTTGTATTCCTGTATACGACTGGGACAAAGACACTCCTGAGGATGGAAAGGAAGAATAGGAAGGACAGAAAGAACAAGATGACTAAGAAAGAAGTATGCGCCAGGTTTGTGTTCTTTAGCGGCTTGTCGTTTGTTTAAAGAAATTCAATTATTTCTAAAAACCTTTCAAAGTAATCTTTACCAAATTAAAATGTAAAACACGATGAAACTCCTTTAATTGTAAATACTTGAGATCTTACCTTCTCCACCTCATTATTGATTATCACAAGTTCTTTGCTCAATTTTTCAATTCTTTTATTTAATAAACTTACTTGGTTATTTAATGTATTTGCTTGATTATCATTTGAGACTAACATTTCTTCATTCGTTTTTTTAATGTGAATGACACAATCGGGATGCGTCACCTAAAAATATCGTAAGATCATCTCTTATCGGTTCTAGGTAGCTTATTAGACTGAAATGAGTTTTTTTCGGTTATGATTTTTAATATTTTCTTATGTTATGAAAGAAATATAGAAGCAGCATCATTCTTTAACAAAATCTCTTTTACATATATCTCATTTGACAAAACGAAGATAAATTCTTTTTCCTTTCACGAAGAAAAATGAAAAATAAAGATTAAAATAGCAATACAAGATTCATTTTAAGAGAAAAAAACGAACTCTAGTTTAAATAACAATGCAACCTGCTTGCCATTGATGCTTGAGGAAAATTTATTTTGTTTCATACTTGTTTTCTTCTATTAGTCAATGATGAAGCACATCCAATCTTGTTCACTGTTTTTATACACTTCCTGAAAAGATCCAGTGTAGTTGCAACTAGAAAGACATTTTTCTTTCACTTTTGCTTCATTACATAGTTCTTCCGACATGCATAGAAGTTTTGGGTATTTTCACATGAATTCAAAAAGCATAAATGCTCATCCCCAAAATAGTCATCTAATGATATATGTTTACTTTTAGTTGATATTTGTTATAGAGTAAGACATTTGAAAAAATAAAGAAAATAAAGACCATCCTATGTGATCGGAATAGTCATGAAGAATTCCAGAAGAATGAATATGAGAGGAAAAGGGAATCATTGTTTTTCAAACTGAATACTGTGCGTTGAAAATTCATCTGAAACTTCAAAAGTTTACCTTCTATGAAAAATATCGGATGATGAAAATGATAATGAACAATCATTATAGTTATCAGAAGCAGATTCGACTAATGAAACAAAAAACTCGCTATATCACAATAACAAATATGTAATTACTCACACTGCTTACTTCCAAAATTATTAGGATAATATGGAACTGTGGTTGATTTAATCTAAATACAAACTTGTCCAAAATTTGGAAGTTCATTGTCGTTACCGTTAAACAATACTGATGACAATGTTGGTGAAGAAAGTGGTTGTGATGATGAAAGAATACTTAATCTTCAATTTAGCAAAATCTACACTGTCTTTCATACATCACTGTATTGAAATTCGAAGAATTAAGAACAATATAATGATACTTACAAAATTAAATTATCGATGATCTGATATTGTACTAGATTCTTATCGACATTATCAAATGATTAAATGTCTAAAAGAATAGAAGACATAAAATGTATTGTCTATAGCATGTAAAGAGTATTTCACAGAAAACATCGATAAGATTCGGCTTATTCTTTTTATTACTACTGAAGAGATATACGTTCAGAGAGTATCTGTAGTTAGCAGGTGAAACCAGTATTTTTTTCAAAATTATATGTTCAATTCTTTTTATTAGATAAAGCAAGAATCAGAATGGCTTTTATATCAGTTTTACTGTTTGTGCTAAACAACTTCTACTGTATTATGAACTATGAAATGAGCTTATTCTATTTAATCTAAGTGAAGTAACTGAAGCTGAAGCGATAAAAATATATTTGGCATAATTTCTTTATTGAAAAGTGATAACTGGGTACGGTAGATTTCACTTACCATGAATGTTATTTAATGAACGTTCTTTCACAGTTTTCCTTTTAATTTGTTTTTTTTTCAACTCGATCTAAAACCGATGTATAATATTTTGAGAACATAAAATAACTGAGGCGAAAGAATAAAGTTAATCTTTTTACCACGGGCTAAGGACTACTTTTGCAAGTGTTTACCATGTTCACAGTAAAATATTAAAGTTCTATCCGTAAATGCACATCATTTTATTTTTAATGCAGCAGAAATGTCCTTCACTCCTATTGTATAATGCTGCAATTCTTGATTACCTCCTATCACGATGGGTATTCGATTATTTTTCTTTGATGTAGATCTGTGAAGTTGTTTTTGCCATCGAAGAAGCTGATTGTGAAGATTAGATGGTACATTTCTCGAACTTCCATCAACTACGAGTAAATTTCATTCTTTCGGTAGATCATCTTCTATTATGTAGTTCATGTTGTGCGATTATATATGGAGAATAATTAAACATAAACAAGCAAAGTGGTTCAAAACACGGACACTCAATAAACACGAATAACAACAAACGAATGACAATTACACGAAGTCAAATTATATGTTGATGTATTGTATAGACACGATTTTCTTTGTTTTCGATTTGGTCATTCAAACATTCAATTATCATGCATTCGCGTCTTTTGTATTGAACATAATGACATTTAAAGAAACAATCAACATTACCTAAACAAAATAAACCCACTAAACCAAGACGCATTGACGCGCTACATTCGAAAGCGTATAACTTGGCGAAATGATTGCTTGAGCCAATGGGATAACGCTTCTATTGTTATTGTTTTTTTTTCTTGCACATTCAGCTAGTTGTTATTTTTATTTTGAATTTTTCACTAGATCTTTTTTCTATAATTATTTATTTCCAATACAGGTCTTTGCTATCGGTGATCGTGTAACAAATCTTGCACCTAAATCTTTTTCTTGATCGTTAATTTTGTTGTCTTTATAATTTTTTCACATTGAGAAAAATATAATCCATTTCTAACTGTCGCATGTTGTGATCAATCCAAAATTAACACGTTTCTGGTATTTTGCTTATGTTGAATAACGTCCATTGTCGCCAAATGAATTCTGTTACCTTGGAAAAAGTGTTCAACGAATGATTCAATCAGCTTGAGAGTGTGAGTATGAGTGAGTATGGATATGAGTTTTTTCTTCACCCATATGCGTACACATATCTATGTCCCCGCTGACATTCACACTTACACCCACACCCGATACGCTCAGTATGCAAAGAACGAGAGGACTTACATATTCGACAACGCCACTTGCATTTGGCGAGTGCTTTTGAACAAGCACCTAAATACCAGTTGTTGTGCATTTTTGGACATGGTTTAGTAAGATACACATGTAATAAACCTGATTGTTGACATAAATTAATTGTTTTTTTCGAGGGTTGAAGTTAATTGATTCTATTCACGAACAGTTAAATAGTCAAGAGAAGGTAATGGAACATATGCCATTGTAAATGATACAGGAATCATAGTGAAATGATTTTAAATAGGGCATCTTTAATTATACTAAAATTAAACCTATCAGTATATAGTTGGATTGTTCCTTTTTTTTCATAATTACTATTTGATCAATCTATTAAACAACAATGTACGCCCCCTTTCGTTCTATCATTTCCACTGAGCACAAAAGATTAATCGATACATTTTTTTCCTTTCCTCTTTACATGTATAACCAATCATGCTAGGGTGTCGTTCATCTGAAGAAATACCCATTTCATTTATTTTTTTAACATCATACCAAGCAACATATAATACAAGATGTCCATAATGTCTATCGAAAATTTACCAAATAATTTATTTAAAAATATCTTTTATTATCTTGATGGTTATGAATTATATGAAGCTTTTTCAAATCTCAATTATCGATTTAAACAACTTCTTAATTCTCCATTACTTTTATTTAAAATTAAATTTCATTTAACATCCAATGAATTATATGCAAGCTTTTACAAACAAATGAAACTCATTAATCGACATCAAACATACTCATTGAATTTATATTTACCATTAAGAAACAATCATTTCTTCTCATCATTTCTTATTGATTCATTATTTAATCATCTGAAATTTCTTATTCTTAATCAAGTTGAACCAGATTTGCTTTTATCAGTTCTTTCCAAATTGTCAAATGTATCACGTCTTTCTTCGTTGACTATTAATACTTTAAATGTTTTGAAATATTCTAGTGACATTTATCAAATTGTTTTTAATTTACCATTGTTAAAATATTTCAAATTCTCAGCAAACAATTCACATTTATTTGGGTGTAGGGTGTAGATGTGGGGTTTAGGTGTGAGTGTGGATATGGGAGTGATTTAAGAGAGATTGACTCCCATATCCACCTCATTCACACCCAGACCTACACCCACCCACACCCATACCCTTTGTCTTTGTATTTATTTAAGCTGCTGTAAAACAACTTTTCATATAACTCAATTCTTACCATGAATTAATATAATTAATATGTATCAACAAATTACTAAGTCCAAGAAACTTGAAGTATTAAAAATGTAAGTTTATTTCAATATTTTTATATAAAAAATATTTTTCTTTTTTAGTAAAAGTGAACTTCAACGATGTTGTCATAAATCTCGAATGAGATTGATGGAATTAATAAATTATGATGCTAAGTGTTGAAATATTTTTGATTATTATATTTAATATTTTATTTATAGATATCAATGATGATGATAAAGATAAACAATTTTTTTTTTACTATAAGTCCAAAGAATGTTGATGATTTTATTAATAGTAAATTTTCAAACAAAAACTATTTTTTTATATTCTTTTGTATTCAGGTCGATTAACAAGAAAATCAAACAAAAAACTAAAACCATAGCTTTAATTCAAATGAAACCATATTTTGATTGATGGTTATCAAGGTGAATATGGTATTATTATTTAGATATTCTTCTTCATGCTTGTGTAGTTAAATTACTTCAATTATTTTATTAGATTTAAACGTTCATTTTTGTTGATTTCATTGATGTATAATATTATTTTTGTTGTGCTTTGATTTTTGTATGATGGTGTGATTTATTTTTTCAAAAAATATTTACATTGAACAA